ATTATTTTTATTTTTTTATGAAGTAAAATTCATTATCTTAGTTTGGTGATGTGGTTCTTCATGCATCGCCTTGAACTTCCACTATTGTTGCTACAACTTACGCACTTCTCTAATTTTCACTTGAAATATTATAGAACGTTTCTTTTTTCATAACTTCGAATGAGATTTCAATTAAATTTTTTACAAAATTAAAATTGTGACTTTGTCACCTTAGATGAGATTTCAGTTAAAATTGTGACTTGTAATTAAACAAACTACTAACATTAGTCAAACATTTGTAGAGTACTTTACAACACCGTTATCGAGCATAGTTAGATAACTTAAATTAACATATGGTTCTAAGATTATTGTCAACTCCTCTTAAAAACTTTTAATGTTAATGAGTAGTTGTTACACACATTTGTCTAATTTTTTAGAAGATGACTTCGAATTTTAATCTATAACATTTCTTTTAAACATGGTATTATCACTACCACGTAATGCACGATTTGAACACTAATATCTTATAAAATAAAACAAAGTGTTTGTTGTCGGTTTGCGATTTTAAAATCTTTTATTTCAATGTTGTCTCAAATATGAACAAGCATATTTTGACTTGGTCAAATATATATAATATCATTATCTTAATTTTGACTTTTGAGACTCGTTCAAATGTGTTATAAGTATTCGTTATTAGGGGTGCTCAAAAACCCGATGAACCCGACCAACCCAACCCGAATTTTAAAAAAAAAAATTCAACCTGAGGTAACCCGATGCATGATCGATAAAAAAATTAGCCAACCCGACCTTATTGGGTTGGAATCGGGTTAGGCCCAAAAAAACCCAACCAACCCGATGAACCCGACCTTAAGTTTAGCTTTGAATTGTAGATGACAATCATGACATGACCAACCTCAACGTCAAGAAAGCGAAARCATCGGGGTTGGAAACGTCTAAAACTATTGTTGTTGATTGATGTATTATCATTTGATTTAAACATTTTTATTGTAATATCTAAATATTTGATGAAGTTGTATATTATCTTGAATGGTCGGTCGTATTTTAAAAGAAAGTTTTATTTTATTTTATGTGATTTTACATTGTTTAACACAACCCGATCAACCCGAACGGGTTGGGTTGGGTTGGGTTGGGTTGAACTTTTGTTTGGGTTGGATTGGGTTGGGTTGAAAATTTTCAAACCGTCAACATTGGGTTGGGTTGTTAAAACGGCTCCAAACCGATCAACCCGGGCCGTGAGCACCCCTATTCCCCATGGCCTCCCATTGACTTATTTTGTAATAAATGTTTGTGAATTAATATCTGATTCGTTGTTTTTATGGTGTTTTGTATGATTAGGACGTAACAAGTTGTTCTTACAAAATGTTTGATGATTTTATATATCATATAATAGTTATAAATGATAAATATCAAATAATGTTTAAATAATTAAATTTTATGCGATTTTCATATATATGCATATATATAATAGCACCAAATTTGAATGAAAGTTTTGATATGGTTGATGTTAGTTCGAAAAAACTTGGTTTGTATTAAGGAAACCTATATGTTATTCGGCTTACACTACAACAAAATGGGGTTTATAGGACACTCTTTATTTCTAAGCGTCCTAATAGACCTCTTTATAAGACATAATTTATAGGACCAAAAAAATAAAGCGTCCAATTTAAAGGCGTTGTAATAAGTTTATATGACGTTTTTTAACGTCGTAATAAATTTTTTAGGACACTTTTAATATAAAGCATCTCATTAGCAACTTTATAAGACACTATTTGAAAATTTGTCCTATGAAAACAAATGTCCTATAAAAAAATGAGTTTATAGAACACTTTATCAAAAGTGTCCTATAAAGTTGTTAATGCGACACTTTGTATTAAAATGTCCTGAAAACTTGTTAAGACGCCCAAAAGAGTCATATAAACTTCTTACAACACCTTTAGATAGGATACTTTATTTTTTGGTTCTATAAATTAAGTCATATAAAGCAGTCTATTGGGACACTTAGAGATTGGGGGTGTCCTATAAACTCAATTTTGTTGTAGTGTTAGAAGGTCCTTTTGAACTAGCGGAAGCGGCATAGAGGTTGTTGTAAGGACAATGGTGGATACGACAGCGATCGAATAAGGTGGTGGTGGTTGAAGTAGATGCAGTGATGACCGATATGGTGGTGGAACTGGATGGGGTGATTGTGGCGAAGACAGAGAGGGGCGGCAGCATTGGTGGAGATAAGAGGCAGTGGTTGTGGTAGAGGTGATTGTCGTTGGTGCTGATGGTGGCGATGGCAGCAATAAACATTGGTCACTATTAAAACAAATATCATATTAAGGGGGCGGTATTGTTGACGTCAGGGCAGTAGCAACCATCAAACCAAATACCAAATGAGGGTGATATCAAATGGGAATAGATTGGTAATATATTAGTTCTATCACATCCATATCCCATCTTGTTCTGTTTATTTTAATAGAACCCATCCGGTCCTGGTGATTAACACGAAATAACATTTTAGGTTCTTGAATTGAAATAATTATGATCCCTCTAGTATGCACTTTATAACGCTTCCAGTCCTTTACGCTAACTCCGTTAAACAAACTATTTTAACTCAGAGGTACATTTTAAATTTTCCTCACTGCCTCTTATGGTTTATATTCGTTATATGTGAGATGTTAGTTTTATCTCATGGGAAAGTGACTAAATGTTTAAAAAAAAACCTCCACCGCCTTATGCTTTGTTTAAATGAGTTTATTATGAGATATTTATGTTATCTCATTAATTTTGGTGGAGAAAAAGAAAATGGAGCTTTTCCCTGTGTGTATGTGTTTTGAGCCGAAGCAAAACAGAACCAAAAAGGGATGAATTGAAGCTGATTTATGTGATTCTTGCTTGAATATGTGCTACTGATATCTGCTTCTTTGTGAATCCAAGTGAGTTTTACTTTGAAAACATCTTTTAATGTGTTTTTGGGTGAATAAACCGTAAGGTTTCATACGTGAGTTTAACTTGTGTAAAACTTTCCTTATTTGGAAACTAGATATAAGAACCTTATGGTTCTTTATATGAGATTTTGAAATAAAACATTTGTTGAGGCCATTACTGGCAAAAAGGTGGATTTTTATCATATGATTATATCATGTGTCGAAATAAGGATGGCATATCAAGGAACTGGGTAAATTTAAAATAAGGGTGGCATAATCAGGAGTTGGATAAATTTGTAATAAGAGTGGCATAATCAGGAGCTGGATATATTAGGATAAGGATGGCATAATCAGGAGCTAGATATATCAGGATAAGGGTGGCATAATCAATTTCTGGAAATGATGATCTTTTGATCATGGGTTATTGTTATTGCATCTATATGATGCGCTGAGATTGATTTTATCGCATGTGTAATGAGTTATAAAATATGGGTTTTTGGATCATATGTTAATTTGTTATCGCATCCTTGTGATGTGATGACCTTCATTTATCGCATCTGTGTGATGCGAGGACTTGGGGTTGTTGCATCCTATTGATGTGATAACTTATGGTTTTGATAAAGTAAGCAATTGCTAAAGAACCAGAGGGACTCTGGTTGGTCTTCATGTTTAACCAGGGGGCCTCTCGTTGTATTTGAAATCCAAATTTTTTTCAAGTGTTTAAACATTATTCTTGACCCAGAGACTTTGGATAGACAAACCAGATGGTTGACCAGAGGGCCTCTGGCTGGCCGTGCTTTTGGGATTGGTCGTGCTTTTGGGATTGGTAGTGCTTTTTGGGTTGGCCTTGCTTTTGGGTTGGTCTGGCTTTTAAATGGCTTTACTTTTGGTTATTCATTTGAACCTTGGAACACTTGAATGATGAGCCATAGAACCTTCATACAGACGGCTAAGTAAGGGACCCAGAGGCTTTGTATGTACTATGCAGAGGTTCTGTGTTTGGGAGTTGAGCTCTATATCCGAGTACTTGGCTATTTGCGCACAAGACTTCAGTCTTTATACCCTCTGTGTCCGAGAGCTGTGTCCGAGCTTGTATTTGAGTTTTGTCTCCGACCTCTGTATCCAAGTTCTTGGTTCCAGGAAACTTTATGACTAAGTCCTCTTGGACTAAATCATCTTCAGAGTTTGTCTTTATATTTGACACTTAGAGCGCTGAAGTCTTTCTTTCATAGCATAGTTGAACCAGAAGGGCTCTCGTTGGTCTTGTCTCTGGGCTTTGATGCGATGAAGTGTGTTGTGATCACACCAGTGTGTTGCAATGTGATGGGTTCTCACACTAGTGTGTTGCGAGAAAATGAGATTGTCTCACCCAAGGTGTTATGAGGAAATTATGGTTTGTGTTATACGAAGCATTAAGTTCATGTGTTATGCGATAAATAGGTATTTTGTGGTTTGAATTCAAAACAGTATATATTTGTTATTTATTACAAATATGAGTTTTATAAAAGGTTTTGGTGATATTCACCCTGTAATTGCATAAAAAGGGATTTCTCACTAAACCCTAAGATCTAATCCTCATTTTGGATTTTTTTTTAAATGTGCATTCCAAGTCAAGCAACCAGTTGATAAAGAGAAAGGAAATTTATGAAGAAATATATGATTCTCTGCATATGGATTTTGGGATAATGTGATATTACATGTACCTACATGTTGTTTATAAGTACAAGTTTTGCATGGAGATTTTGTGTACAAATTTGGTATCTACTTTTATAATGTAGCTTTTGTATATCATTTGGGACCGAATGTGTATTTGTATTTCTTGATATATAACATGCATGATTATATGCAAATGCGGATCCTTTGGTGTTACACAGAAAGAAAAGAAAAATAAAAGAACACCAAAACACCATTCATTTAGTTGGAACATCAAGAACAACTATGAACATCAATAACATATTCATACAACTTCATTCAATAAATATATGATCCAAAACTATGTAAAATCAAAACCCTAAATCCATTAAATCAAAACTTTAAATGAAGCTTGAATCCCAAAAATCAAAATCCATAAAACTCTAAATCAAAACCCTTTCATGGTCTATTGGTCTTCATCATGACCCCCAATGCCAACAAAAACAAGAGGAACCAAACAGTGAATGAAGGAGACATCCAACCCCCAATAACCCATTTTCCATCCTCAAATCCATCCTCTCCATTAAAACCCTTCTTTTCCTTGCCATTTTCTTCAAGATTTTCCTCCTTTTCAGCTAATCCCATATGAGAAAGTATATGAGGAAAAACCTTCTTACTAGATTCTCCTCCGATCAACAGATCAGAGTGCCCGAATCCCTCCACAACCACCCTCTCGTGTCGAAAACTAGGATGGTGCAGCTTCATGTACTTGTTAGCAAGAAAAGAAGTTTTGGGGGTCACAAGAAGAGTCCTTCCACCTGATATATAAAGCGTTGGAAGAGCCATTCTCTCGGGATGAATCAGATAGGAGCTGTTTCCTTTGCTGTCAACTATAAACCCTTCGTTGCAGATCTTTCTGAGGTGTGGAAAAGCAGCCATGGGGAGTCGTGGAAGGCTTTTCTTGTTCATCCAGTGGTGAAGAGTTGATGTTATGTTATTGTGCCAAAATGTGTTACCAAATATGCCAGAAAAGACTTCACATTCGTCGCAAGTGCATCTCTCGTAGCGTGGCATGAAACGGGCTATAGATTTTAGCAGTTTTTGATTTGGGTTAGCTTTTGTTGTTTCGAGTATGGGGAGGATGCTGTTTTTTCCTAATATCATCATTGTTATCTGCAGGTTTTAGGATCAACCAGTTGCATTTCTTACTACATTTAGAAACTTATATTTAGTTCTCAAATTTGAAAGAAAGGAAAGGGAGGGAAAATATTGGAAAGGAAATGAAGTTTTTTAATTATGTTGGGAAAGGAAAGGAAAGATGTCACTAAATGTACCATTTATATTGGTTTTTCTCACTTTTCCTTATGAGGGTATATTTGTCATAAAAGATCACATACTCCTTTCAGATTTTCTTTCCCTCCCTTTGTTCCCACATTTGAGAGGAACATCAAATGATAATTTCCCTCTTGTTCCTTCCCTCCTAACTCTTCCCTTTCTTTTCCTCAAAAGGGGTTTCGAGAACAGAGTGTTAAAACAGGTGCAAAAGATAAAGATGGTGCATGTATTTACCGGGATGAGAGGAAGCCACATCTTGAATCTTGAGGAAGGTGTGAGTTTGAAGAACATGGATGAATTAGTGCAAGAGAGCGAAGCAATTCTAGTCGCAGACACATGACCTCCCATGATAGCTATGTGAATGGCTAGGCCTCCAACACAGTGTGCAACCACATGAATCTTCATGGACTTCGAATTCAACTCCAAGATTTTATCAATGGCTGAAGAAGAAGAAAGAATAATCAACACTACAACAAAATCGGATGCCAAATATGCCTAAATGTCTTAATTGTTTTATCGCACTAAAGTTTATGGGACCAAACAATTATGTGTTCTATGTAGAGGTGTTATAATAAGTTGATAAGACGTATTTGGGAACCCTAACAAGTTTTCACAACACTTTTGAAATAAAGTGTTATATTAGCTTTTTTTTTAAACACTTGTTTTAAAAGACATTTTTTTCAAACGAAGTCATATAACAAGACTAACAGGACGTTTTATCTCATTATTGTCATAAGAACTTGTTATCACGTCCAAAAGTATCCTATAACCTTAGAGTAACATGTTTACATAGGACACACCATTGTTCTAAAGTATCCTATAACCTTAGCAAATGACGTGTTTCTTTAATTACCTGCAGGAACATCGAATCTGCCAATGTCTTCGATAGTGAAGGAGTTTGAAGAATTAAGAGGGTGTAACCTTGGTTGGAGAAGCCATGTTTCATGCCCTTTGTCTAGTAGAGTTCTAACCAAATCAGTTGGCTCGGTAGGAAGCCGATAGCTCTCAGTGGAATACCCGTTAATAAGTAGTACTGGATATGGACTTTTCTCCCCTTCGAACCTCCAAGAATCAGCTTTTTTGATCTTCCATTGTCTGCAACCAATAGCAAACCCATCCTCTGCATAAACCAAGAAAACTCATCAAGATTTCTCAGATTTCAAGTATTTGAGATGTGACGATATGCAGAACCCCCAGATTACTCTCCAAAAGAGCTTTTGAGGAGACAAGGAAGGTTCCAACATACATTGAGAGGAAATGGTCCAAGTCTAGCCAATGTGGACTCCAACACGCACCCTTCCAACGGAGGCTAGATGGGCATAGATTTTCCCAAGAGCGTCGTGAGGGGCTAGATGGGTATAGACTGCCCAGAGTGTCAAGTCCCTAGAGCGGTAGACCTTGACTCCAATACCAAAAGAGCCCTTGAGGAGGTTTAGGATGTTCCAACGTATATTGAGAAGAAATGGTCAAAGTATGGCTAATGTGGGACTCCAACCAAGAAATTAATCCTTCTGGCAACATACCTGTTCTTATCTCATGGAGTGTACTGCAAGGATAAGACCTATTCAGGAGTTCTGGTGGAGCGAAACCCATGTAGTTCCCTCTTGGTTTCTGCAGGATATATGTTCTAAAGAGAGATTGCAGTAAGAGCCACACAAACTTCATTCTGTTGTTTCCTTCCATGCTAATCAGGCTCCCCAGAAGCGCGATCGTAGATATATGAAGCTCTCCTTTTAAGTCTACCATTTCTTCACTTGGACTGTTCTTCTTTACTTTCTTGAATGTCACTTGCAGCGTTGTTGACTCTTTCCATCCATATAGTCCTAAAAGAAAAGGGTTCATTACCTTCTTCCCTTCAAGAATATATCTGCATCAAATGTAGCTTTGTAAAGCTTAAATTGGTGTCCAATGAAAAGACAGGAAGCTTATGTGAATAAGCCACTACAACAAAATCGGCTTTGTACGACACAAAAAATGTCTAAATCTCCTAATAGACTGCTTTATATGACATGAAGGTTATAGGACCAAACGGTTGACGTCCTATATAAATGTGTTAGAATAAGTTGATGGAATGCTTTTAGGCATCCTAGCAAGTTTTAGGACAATTTTGAAATAAGGTGTCCTAATAGCCTTTTTTTATGACATTATTTGATAAATGCCTTATAAAAACAAGTGTTTTATAAAAAGAACACTTCTCAAAAGTGTCATATAAAAAATTAAATAGGTCAAAAAATGTCCTAAAAACTTGTTAGGATGCCCAAATACTTTTGAACATCCTATCGTAACGCCTTTACATAGGAAAGTAGGAAACATGACTATTTGGTCCTATAGAACAGTCTATTAAGACATTTCGACATGTAATCGTATAAAGCCGATTTTGTTGTAGTGAGCAATCACATCAGTTTCTCATTTAGACAGCAACGTAAAATATAGATTTTTCTTTGAGTGTTGCCAAATGGTCTCCAAGATTAAACCTTGAACCAGAAGAAGCTGTGAGAAGGAGGTGATAATGCATGAACTGTGCATAAGGAGTTCTGATGTCCACTTCACATAAGTCCACTTCTCCGTCAATTATATGTAATCTGTCCCTCTCTACAGCATTGAACTCGAGGTATCCACCGACTATTCCTCTCAAAAGAGGGTGAGATTTTCCAACAATCAAACTTTTTTGATCAAAATCCTTCGATGTTTTGGTGTTCATTTTCAATTTGAGATGGGCAACACAAGGCATACCGCCAATATGCCCTCTCATAACTTCTTTAAACCGAACATCACATCTTGATCTCCCCTCTAGCTTCCAAGACCCTATTGAACCAGGCTTTTTATCATCTTTTTCATCAATGGAACATTTTCCTTCTAAACCCATGTAAGAATTGATATCTTGAACGAGGCCCCTACTTACATGCTCAGAGGCAGTGGCAACAGTTAGACAAGGGTTTACCCCTATAGAGCAAGGGATTAAAGAGGCATCACAAACATAAAGTCCCGAGTGAATTGAAGAAGGAGACTTGGTGTCGAAAACCTGACCATTTGAATTACAAACTCCAACGAAATGATCAGAAGCAGCATTGCAGCCACCTAGAAGATGAACAGAAGTGCTTCTATATCTCGACATGAACAGTATCCCTCCTAATTTATTGGTTAATTTTTGGAAGGCGTTGATTTTGCATGGAAGCAAGGGATCGTTTGGTGGGGAGAAGCTAATTTTGTCAATGTTTTTTTCAAATGTGATTTTCCCGTCACTCTCATCATACCCCATTGCATTTAAGACCATTGCTTGGGTGCTCTTTATACCAAAACTATGCTTCAGCTTATCTATAAGGCCATGCAAAAACCAGAAGCCGGTTGGCCAACCATAAGTTGAAACCCCTTTAAAGATCAAGTATGGATAAGCTGTTGGTAACACCGTGCTCTGATCCAAAACCAGAGTAATTGTTATGGTGGAACAATTTTTACATTCGACACTACAACAAAATCAGATTTATAGGACGCAAAAAATGACTAAATGTCCTGATAGACTGCTCTACAAGACCTTAGTTTATAGGACCAAAGAATTGTGTGTGCTATGTAAAAGGGTTACAATAAGATGGTCGGACATATTTGGGCATCCTAGTAAGTTTTTTAAGACACTTTTGAAATAGAGTGTTTTATTAGTTTTTTGTAGGACATTTTTAACACATCTTTTTATAGGATTCTTGTTTTTGCAAGACACTTTCTCAAAAAATGACATATAAAAAGATTAATATAATGATTTTATTCAAAATTGTCCTAAAAAACTTGTAAGGACGCCCAAATGCGTCTTATCAACTTATTAGAACACATTTACATGAGATGCACAATCGTTTTGTCCTATAAACTTAAGTTGTATAAAACAATCTATTTGGACATTTAGGAATTTTAGGTGTCTTATAAAGCCGATTTTGTTGTAGTGGAAGAATAATTGGATGCTTGAAAATACACCCAAAAAAAAAGATTAAAACCTGAATTGTGAACCCCAATGAAGAAGTGTATGACGAAGAAATAGCGGGCCCAGGCCGTTCTTGAAACGGTATGTTGGAAAAATGCTTTTTGCCTAAGCCATAAGCACCTAGTGGTGTTGTACAGCCAGCAAGATAAGCAGCATTGTTGCCATTACAGCTGAATCCTTCACCAAGGCTGCCTGAGAGTTTCAATCCTCTGGTTTGTGACCGGAATAGTATATCAGCAGTACCAAACACTCCACCTACAAAATACCCAAAAAACAAACATTTCAGCATCATGACAAGATCCATGAAAATATCTCAATTGTTAGCAGTTTCCCATACCTGATAGAATAACAAAATCAGAAGTTAGATAATCAGTCTCATTGAGAAATACAAGCCACCTACGTGCTCTTTTCCTGTGTATATTTGTGTTATTTGGGTTTTTTACCACATACTGGACTTGACAATCTGTTTTGATAGTACATCCTGCCTGCATCATAAGAAATTTAAGCGGACACTTAGCAACTACTGACTGCTGATTTTTCTTATGTCAGCAGCCTAAGCAGTTGAAGAGAAAAATCAGTCATTCATGTGTTAAAGACCAAGGTTCAAAAAGGTGTGAGGTGAGGCGTGGTGTGGCGGTGAGGTCAAGCCTCAAGCATTCAGAGCCACGGGGAGGCCATGCCGTTCTTCAAAGTGTGACTTGTGACGACTCTGTATATCATATGCACACACACACACATGTTTTCTACTGTTACTCGAGGAATCGATGATATTGAACAATAAAATTCATATAAGAAGACCAAAATAATATATTTATATCATATGCATATATATACATAAAGAGCTTAGAAAAGGGTGGGGATCAAGTGAGAATAAATCTTTTGGTGAGAATGGCGAGAACACGGACCTTCATCTACCTTCATCCACCTGCATTCACAAGCCTTCATCTACCTTCGTTTACCTTCATTTACCTAATTCTATCACCATTACTGAAACTTCAACAAATTCATGCATGTGAAGGTGATTGAAGTATGTAAAAGTTTGTGAAAGGGAAGATGAAGGTAGATGAAGATAGATGAAGGTCAGTGTTTTTTAGCCGTTAGATCAAAAAAACAACTCATCCAAATGCTTTTGAAGCATTCTCACCTTCTAACGAAAAGGGGTTGTTCTCAATGATCCCAGCAAAAAAGGTTATATTAAGAACACATAACAAAAAAATTGCTCTATCAATGGTTCCATATACCTCTAATCTAAGACCATATACAAGTAGGTTTTCTATTAAAAAGTAAAACGTAACACACTAAAAAGGTGAAAAAAATAGAGAGTAAAAATATCAAATAACGTCTTACAAAAACGTGCATTTGGCCATGGCGTGCTACGGGGATTAACATGGTGTCAGGGATGAGACTTGCGCCACAGCGCGCCATTTAGAACACTGGTTAGGACACATGAGTATGCGATCCCCATAGTGGTGTCGTGTTGCCTGTATTGGTCTCTCTCCAGATGCTTATAATACAAAAGTATAACGTACCTCAACAGCTGAGAACAAATAATTCTTGTCAGTAGAGTTTTTGGCATTGTAAGGACAACCCGCAAGACAATTTCCACAAGCCATGCAGCTTCCCACTTCTTTGGGTTTTTTCAGATGGGCTGCCTGTTCTTCTACATCAAAATTTATACTTAGCTTTAAAGAGCTGGTTTCATTGAACTCATCACCAACCAATTTCTCCATAATTTTAGCATTAGAAAATTTCACTGGAACACTTTGTATGTTAAGCATGGATGATGCAGAGGCTTCGCATGCCTTCCAATCTGACTCCCATTCTCTGGGCCATTTCGGGTTCCTTCTTGCTCGAACAGGCGTTGGCAGCATTACACCAGCATTCACTAGCGAGCCACCACCAAGCCCACAAGCTGTCGCTGCTAAAGAATCATGTTCTGTATGTATCTGCAATTTGATCAAACTTTACAAGTTAGGTCTGTAACCACCATGACCATTTTGGCCTGCTAATAATGACAAAATTGACCCTTTACAATTGATATGCACGGCCAAATTAAGTGTAACATAGAGGTAGAATGACAAAGGAGGTGCCATGGATCAAGATGGGTGATGCTACATAACTAAAACATGGGTTCAACTATGTTACTAGAGGTAATGTATTTTGAAACCAAGGAAGTGTCTTTTTAACCAAAGGGTCATTGGCCAAGTGGTATTTGGGTTATATGTAAATACTAGCCTCCCTGGAGGTCAAAGGGTTCAAACCTCACCAAAGTCCACAGGCATGGAGTGTGTGTGAGTATTTGCCGTGTATAAATATTATATACTTCAAAAGTGTCATTTTTAATCCTCACAGATTCACAGTAAGAATTGGACCATTCTCTTGGATACATGGTGCAGGGAGAAAGAGAGACCTGAAACAATGCATCGTTGGGGCCTAAGCCAAACCCCGAGCTCTTGTTTTCGAATCTGACACTAGATAACATCCTCAAAGTATGAGTAGGAAAATCTTGAGCTTCCCATTTACGACCTTTCTCAAGCAAACAACACTTTATCCCCGCCATTGACAGGCGACAAGCGGCAACAGAGCCTCCATATCCAGACCCCACAACAATAGCATCATAACCGTCATCTGCCTCACCACCACCAAAATAACACTCCTTTATGCCATCTTTCTTCATTTTCCCAGATATAACTAGAATAGAACTACTGAACTAGATAAGATGTGCCCTGGGCAGTTGGCCATATATAAGTTCCTTTCAGACTGCAGGCCATCTAAAAGTGGTTAAATGGTGACAAGAATCTGAGCTAAGATTCATCGATTTCAAAGATTCATGGATTAAATTAAGCACCCTTTGGCATTGATGTATTAAATTTGGACAGAGAGATGTTCCTTGTTATCTGCTCCTCTACTTTTCAACCTAGACAAGGGTTCTGATTCTTTCTTTTGCGTTTACAGCTAATAGAGCTCATAAGTTTGTCTTAAAATGGCGTATGACCTTGTGTCAATATCACATAATACAATTTTAGGTCATCCTCTAAGGATTCTGTTTCATCGTTTTCTTGCAACTTTTAGGTAATTTTTACAAATTTTGATTTCATCGTTTTCTTGCAATTTTATCTAGTTTGCCCACTATTCGTCGCCTCTCAGTCGTGTGAGTGGAGGGCCCTTTGGAGGTTATCTACGAGGACTGATTTTGAACACATCGTAAACTCCAATGGTTACATTATCATAGATTTTTTAAGGTCAGAACAGAATACTCTATCTGCTTTCAGCCAAAAGACTACGGAGACAAAATTCGAATGCTAGTCCAACTACATCCTGTTCAGATAGTTCATTGTACCGTACAAGTTATTAAGGCTATTGGAACCCAAACAGTGCTCACCACAGATGAAATCGGTCTTTCATTTCTGATAAACATATGCATTGGTACTTACGTTTGGAAATCAAAACTAGGACTCTAATATCAGATAAGGATTGTGATTGACTGTAAAATACACACTGCCAGGTGAAATGGCTAACCTTAAAGAGCACAGATTCGAATTAAGAACATGATCAATCTGCAGGATGAGAGTTTCCAAATATACTCCAATTTCTTCATCATCGCCGTCCGGCGTAAATTCTCGGTTCACCGGCGATACAGCATCCATCATCTTCGTCGTCGTATGACGCTCTTAGTTGGGTATTTTTTTTCTTTTTTTAATAAATAGCAACCTACTTTCACAATTTTTTTTATTATAGCATTCTATTTTTGTTTTTCTTTATTATAAAAATATACTTTTAAATTATTTTTTATTAAGACATCGTACTTTAAAAAATATACCCATCATAGCAATAAGTAATCTGTTATCTTTTAAACCGGTTAACCCTAATCAATCCCATACAGTTTTCGGAATAGAAATGGAATATCCCCATAAACGTAATTGTTACTGTAATTGTCAAATTATTTCGTGGATTGGATTGGGTAGAGCGCGCCCCTGATAATTGCGTCGCCAAAAGCGAGAGAAACCCCATCCCTCTCTGGTCCATTTATATCATAATCATATCTTCCCCTCAATGAATATTCGGATTAGATTGACTTTTTTGCTTATGTGGCTTTAATGAGGTGATGTGGATGACACTATCATTTTGATGACTTACTTAGAATAAAAATAAAAACCTATTTCAAATTAGTATTAGTGATTTTCATTTTTCATTGTTATGATTAGAAAAACACTTAATTTTTTTACTTTTTTTTATTAAATTGTATGCAAATTAAATATTCTAGAATAAAAAATATTTCTTAAATAAATATGTTACATTATTTTTGAGATATATTTTGTTTGTAAAAAAAGTAACACTTCTTATTTTATGTTGTTAAAAAAATACATATCTTTTTCTAAAATGTTAACGAAATAAATTATGTTCTACAATTTTTTAATATTGTTATATTAATAAATAATTCAAAAAAAATCTAATTAATGTAATATATTTATATGTCAAATAAAAGTTTTTAACAAATATAATATATTTTTAAAAGATAATATTTTTGTGGTAAAAAATGAACAATTCTTATTTTCTTTTTTCAGAAAGCACATATTTTAAAAAAAAACATTAGCGAGATAAGTTGTCTTCTACTAATTTTATTAATATTGGTATATTAATGAATAATTTATAATTTTTTAATTCATTTAATATATTTATTAAATAACATGTAAAATATCTAAATATTAAAATTAAAAGTACATTATTTTAAAATAACTAGTAGATGGTATAATAAAATAATTTTGAAAGTACAATGTTGTAATAAAAAAGTAACATCACTATAGTACATGTGGACATCCTACGTGGACAATAAGGTAGCATGAAAACCTGGTATAATGGGTAAATTTAAATCAAAAGATTACCCAATGCTATAATGGGTAAATTTTTCAAAGTACAATGTTTTAATAAAAAATAGTTTTAAAGTACATTGTTGTAATAAGAAAAACTAGAAGTACAATGCTATAATAAAAAAATTTATGAAAGTAGATTATTATTTTGTGCATTTTACCCTTTCGTGAATCGTGATTGTTTGGATAAAACTTATATCGGTAATAAGGAGTTTTTGAAGAAGTTAAACATTTCTGACTTATAATAAGTTCATAAGTGTTTTTGTAGAAAAACACAAGTTGTTTCATTTGTAGAAAAACATAAGTTGTTTCAAATAAGCAATCTCAAACACCCCCTAAGACGAACCACCTGTTTTACGGATAACTCAAAGTAATCGCATTTGAACCTCTATCGCTATAAGAGAACCTCTATAGCAATAAGAAGATTTTTATTTTCCTCGAACCTGAAGTTCAAACCAATCCGGCACTCAGTTGCGTATCCTTGGAGTTCCGTCAACCGTTAGATTTTAACTTTTTAGAGTAAGGGGCCGTTTACCAAATACTTATCTGGTAAGTGCTTAACAGTAAAATTAGCACCATTATTTACTTATCAAATAAGATTTTAGTGTACCAAAACGACATCGCATGCAACAATTTATCCGGTAATCGTTTACCATGGTAAGAGTCGTCACTCTCACTTATCGGGTAAGACTCTTGGTTCTTGTCTCGTTCCGGTAAGATTGTTGGTCCTTACAATATTCATCTGGTTAGATAATGTGACTTGGTAAACGTTTACCCGAATAAGCATTTGGTAAATGACCCCTAAATTATATTTTTTGTCCTTGTGGTTTGTTAAAATTTACATCGCATTAAAGTAAAATTAGTTTCAGGACAAAATTTACCGTAAATTATAAATCATAAAAATGAAATCAGTAGTTTTTAACAAATCACGAAGACAAAGAAAACATAATTTACTCTATGTTTTATATTAACAAAATGATTTTGCAAAAATATTTAGAAAATGAAACGATATTCAGATAAATCATTTCCTAGAAAAGTTTTTTTTTTTACCACAAACACCTAAATTTTAAAATATTGGAATAATCGAAATGGATTTTACTTGAAAAATTACCTTTTTACCATTTCGTTTCATATTTCTTGGGATTTTTATTATCTTTTTAAATATAATTTTTGGAAAGTAATTTAACAGTATCATGTTAAGTAGATACAATGAATAGCAGCAAAGGTAGGACAGCACGATTCGTGATATTTATAACATGCTAGTTATCATTAGGGTGCTTGTGGGTTGGGTTGATTGGGTTGAAGACATTTGAACAAACCTAACTTAATGTTTGCGGTTTGAAAAATCTTAACTTATCCCAACTCAAACCAAAGTGCAACCCAACCCAACCAGTACGGGTTGGTCAGGTTAGTCGGGTTGATATTTTAGTACATTAAAATATCCTTCTAACCTAGAATATATATTAATTCTCAACTCATAATTTATTTTTCATCATCAACCATTTGATAGAACTTATACATATTTCTTACGTATATCACATTCAGTTAATTTTCTCAATTTACATATATATGTTCACCCTTACTGAACATATATACCAATGAGTTATATAAAGATGTAAATCGATTGAAAATATATGTATATGAATAGCATACATGATAGTGTAATTGTTTAAGAAACATATTAATAAAAATTCAACAATCATATTAAATCTAAAAAATAAAAGGATATCGGGTTCATAGTAACTCAATATCAACATAATACCTACGATTTGGCAATTTTACAACTTAATTAGACATCGGGTTGCTTCGGATTGAGTTATTTCGTGTTAGGTTGGGTTAATTGGGTTGGTCGGGTTTTTGAGCACCCCTAATTATCACCTAAGATCTGTCATTACGCTGTAATTATCAAATAGATTTCTTAAATTTCATATTAACTTTAGCAATTTTGTTGCTATTCCTTCCCATGCATTATAATGAAACAAGTTTCTTAATTGTCATATTAGCATTAAAAAAATTATATTTTAATTAAATAACAATAAAACTTCAATTAAATAATTTTTGTTATAATTAAATACCAAATTATTAACTTATTGATAAATAATAGTATGAGAACACAAAAATATAAAATTATGAGATTATTAAAAATTAAATTACCAAAAATAAACAATAAGACTGTTGATTATTGAGATTTAGGGGCCGTTTATCAAATACTTATGGGCCATTTACCCAATTGTTTATCCGGTAAGCGCTTAGTGATAGGAATTAACACTATAATTTATTTTGATACGTAAGATTTTAGTATATCAAAACATATCGAATGCAACAATTTAGTGGGTAAGCGTTTACCTGGGTAAGAGTTGTCATCCTCACTTACTGGGTAAGACTCAACATCATTCTAATCGCTCTTACCCGGTAAGATTCTTGACCATTCTCATGTTCATCCGATGAAAAAATTTATCTGGTAAGTACTTACCAAGTAAATGTTTAGTAAACGGCTTCTTACTCTGTAAGCGCTTACCGGCAAAATTAACACTATCATTTACTTATCGGGTAAGATTTTAGTTCATCAAAACGACATCGTATGCAACAATCTACCCAGTAAGCACTTACTGTGGTAAGAGTCGTTGCATTCACTTACCAGGTAAGATTCTTGGTTCTTACCATATTCATCCGGTAATGTAATATGATTTGGTAAGCACTTACCCAGGTAAACATTTGGTAAACGACCCCTTAATTACTAGTTAAATGATTATATTTTGTATTTGTTAATTAGCAAGTGCTAATTAAATAAAACATAATATCGACCTAATTGTAACTTAATCCATTCGGCCGTCCTCTATCTTTGCCGACCAATTCATAATGATTTGCTAAAAAAAACACAAATCAAAAAGACAAATAGCATAAAAAGATAGAATTAATGACAAAAACTTTGAACAAATAAATCATTGGAAATTACAAAAATCAAAATCAAAATTAAAAACAATGTCTAAAATCAACATCAGAATCATAAAACGAAATCAAAAAACTCAAAAATAATAAACCAGAAATTTGGAGACTAAGGGTTCGTTTACCAGTTTATCAAATATTTATCGGATAAACACTTATGGGTTGGAGTTATCACTCTTACTTACTTTATAAGAATTCGACCATCAAATTGATACAATATGACAATTAACATACATAATCATTATCAGAAAAAGAAAAAGAAAAATTAAAATACATTGTTGTTTTAAATAAATGGCAAACCATAAATCATTTAAAACAGATAAATAGTTGCATACAATAACGTTTTTGTTGACTAAAATCTTACCTAGTAAGTATGTGATAGTGTTAAATTTTACTAGTAAGCGCTTGCCGGGTAAGTGTTTGGTAAACAGCTCATTAGGTGCCGTTTACCAAACGCTTACCAAATCACTTTACTTTACGGGATGAATATGATAAGGACTAAAAATCTTACCCGGTAAGAACAAAGACAAGAATCTCAAGTCTTACCCAGTAAGTGAAGACGAGGACTCTTACCATGGTTAGGGATGGGAATGGACCCCGACCCGTCGGGTAACCCGGTCCACCCGCCCCGGTCGGGGACGGGGATTCCCCGAAAAATCGGGTCTTGGGGACGGGGACGGGGATCCCCGCTTGGCGCAAGCCGGGGACGGGGACGGGGACGGGTATAGCACTCCCCGCCCCGCCCCGTACCCGTTTTTTATATATATATTTTTT